TTTTTTAGAAAATGCATTACTTACAATAAAGTGTTTCTGAAGCATATGTTGTAATTTCTTACCTGCTGGTATATATATGTACCAAGTAAATACCCTATTGGTACACACATGTACCATCCACCCTTGCTGACCCCATTAACTATATTTAATTTTTTTCACAAAAAATTTTCAATTTGACTTTAAAGTAACTCATCTTTATTGTATCTTTTATTTTGGATCAAAATTTATACTCAGGGACGAAAGGGTTAAAATCCCAATGGTTAACGAGGCTAAGTTTTTGGGTGTTTTGTTTGACTAAAAACTGACATTCTTGCCACATTTGCGCAATTTGAAGAGATGTTTAAAATCTCTGAACCTTTCAAAAGTACTATGCTGCTCATCCTGGGGAGCAGACAAATGTTCTATGCTCAGGATTTATAGGGCACTTGTCTACTTAAAGCTTGATTATGGATGCATTGTCTATGGCTCACTGCGAGAATCTACTCTTCAGATGCTGAATCCAATCCACCATCAAGCATTGCATTTGTGCACTGGTGCTTTTCAAACTTCTCCTGTTCAAAGCCTTTATGTGGATATGTGTATGCTTGTGAGCCTCCACTATCCTTCCAGAAAGAACAGTTGTCTCTCTTATTACATTAAACTGAAATCTCAGAATAAATCTTCAGTTGATTGTACAGTATTAGATACTCAGCTGAAAATATTATTTGCAGCCCACTCGACTAGTGTCCCTACATTTGACATAAGAATGGAAAATGTAAGTAGCACGATTAACCTGGACATAAGCAACATTACACAGGCCGAGGTTGATAGTATATCACCTTGGTCAACTCCTGTGATAGAAGTCAACCTTAGCTTAAAGCACTTTCCTAAGGAATCCTTTCCAGATTATGTCTATAGACAGCACTTCTGCAGAAATTCAACACGATGACAGGAATTTAATTCTTATATACACTAATGGTTCTAAATTGGATAACTATGTTGACTCAACCTTTTTCTGCCAGGAAGAAATCCTGGCAGAACAAATAGTACCAAATTCTTTCATCTCTACTGCAGAGCTGCAGGCTATTTACCTAGCCTTAAAGTATATAATCAGAAAAGGTCATTGTTGCTGTGTGATTTACACTGACTCAGTTAGTGCACTTCAGGCTTTGATCTCATGTGAACCTAGTTCTCACTCCATAGTAATTAAAATTCATAAACTGTTTTGCCATCTTTATGCGAGTAATTTTTCTCTAAAATTTTGTTGGGTCCCAGGCCATGTAGGTGTAAGAGGGAATGAACAAGCTGACACAGCTGCAAAGTCAGCAAGGCTTTCACAACATACAATGTGTATTGAAGGAGGTGACTTGAAGCTAGTCGTTAAAAAATGACTAGCAGAGATGGCAAAACGTGTGGATAACACAAGTCCACAATAAACTACATGAGATCAAATCTTTGGTAGAAAATTGGACATGTAACATAATGTATGAAAGGAGATCTGAGGTTATTTTTACCCATTTGAGAATTGGACATACTTGGCTGAATCATCAATACATTTTGAGGGGTGATGACCAGCCAGTATGTCAATATTGCAATTGTACTGTAAGTGTTAAACACATACTGTGCAACTATGTTGCTTTTGAGAGGATTCATAGACGGCATTTTGGAAATGTAAGTTTGGCAGAGATTCTGGGCCAGAGGCCAAACCTTGATAAGTTACTGAACTTTCTGAAAGTCGCAAATATTTATAAAGAGATTTAATTATTTATTTTTTATTTATATATACATCTTGTTGTTATATATATTTGTACTGTTATATGGTTACTGGTTTTTTGTTATTTTTTTATTTTACATTATACATTTAGTAGACTGCACAATTTTACCATTTCACATGGTGCAGCTTGGCCTATGTGGCCCTTGCACTCCAAAAAACTCAACCAACCAACCATTTTGCATTAGAAGTCTACCTTAGTCTAGAAGTTTGTATTGCATTTGAAATGTACGTACAAAAAATAATAAATAAGACAACACATACTCAAAGATACAACACTCACAAATGACACATGCAGAAAATGTTACATCAAGCCAGAAACTATACAACACATTACTTCTGGGTGCAAGCTCTTGGCACAAACAGATTATTTACACAGATGTAATCAAGTAGCAAATATAATACACCAAGAGCTTGCAAAGAAACACAACTTGGTAGACATTCACGAGCCATACTACAAGTATATTCCACAGACAGTATTGGAAAACAACATGCACAAAATGTACTACGACAGAGCCATAATCACAGATAAAACAATTTACCACAACAGACCAGACATACACTCATTGACAAACACAATAAAATCACATACATTATAGACATAGCCATTCCAAACCCTCGCAATATACAAAACACATTCACTGAAAAAATTAGCAAGTACACAAAACTCGCCCAGGAAATAAGGCATCTGTGGAGGATGGAAAGGGTGCTTATTGTACCTGTTGTTCTCTCCTGTACAGGTGTGATACCACATACACTACACAAAAGCCTGGGAACATTACACTTGAATAGAAATACATACATCACACTACAGAAGGCCACTATATTGAATACATGCCACATTGTTAGGAAATACCTGAATACAGACACTGATACACTTATTTAATTTTTGTTTTTGGTTGCTGTGCCTTGACTCCTGTCCAGCAACACAGCCACTAGTGTGAACCAAGTATAACCCACTAAACCCAACATAATAATAATAAACAAATAAAATATGTAAAATGAAAATATGAAAAAATCTTTTTGAAAATATAAAATAAATATTTAAAAGTTATAATATTGTAGTAACACCTGAACAAATAAATAATATTAAAACACATATAAATCATAATGAACAAAACATTTGGGTTACTAAAAATGTTGTTTATAAATTTTAATGCAGTTGCGAGCAAAATAATATATGTATAGAGGGGAAACAGGTAGAGAATTAGGAACAAGGTTTAAAGAGCATATCACAGCAATTAAAAATAATAATTACAGTAATAGCGAGGTTGCGGCTGAAGTTTTCACCTGTAAAATGTGAACGTCGAGCGCAACTTAAGTAAGCGGCGCTCGACGTTCACGTTTTACAGGTGAAAACTTCGGCCGCAACCTCTCTAATAACTCGGTTTTGGTTTTTGTCAATTTTTCACAAAAAATTTGTCTCAGTTTTTGTAGGTTGCCTTGGATTTTGTCGGCGTGCCCATATAACTTGCTGCTAATTTTGCAAAACCATGCATTTTCAGTTTGGTGTTGTTTCTCATTGTGTGAGCATTACCCTGCGTCTAGCCAAACAAAAGTCATATTCAAAATCTCAGCATGCAGTCATCAGCTCTGTTCAAAATTTCAGATGATTTCCAGTTGCTGCCTGCGTGCTTCCAGCAAACTGTAAGCATCTTTTTCAGTGCTTCATACACCGGTAAAAAAGATGGCATCCACCATGATGCTCGTAAGAGCTTTATTTTGTGTTGACAATTTTGAATTTAATTTAATTGTAGATGAATAAACCCTGAATAAATTAATATTTGGTTAGTACATTAATAGAATATTTTAATATTTAAGTATATTTAAGTAAGACATCATTTAGTTGTTAAAGCGTAATCTTAGGATTGATTTAATTATTTAAACTTCTCCTATGGAAATTTAAAAAATCTTCATTCCTGTTTCTCTTTTTGAAATATTCATTTTTCATTAAGCTGTTCTCATTAAATAAGCTCAAAAATAAATTTAACATAACATAAAGTCTACATTGTTTGCCATTTTTATTGTTTTTCTCTCCCGAAATTTGTGGCAGTCAGCATTTGTGTTCTCTAGAAAACGCCAGTAGTTGCGTCACTTCCGGCAGCACTGGATTAAATGCTGAGATTTTGAATACTCCCAATTCCTGCTTTCCTTTCAGCTCCATCGTGCGAAATACCATGTTAAATGTTCATTTATTCTTTATATTAGTCTTTTTTATTCATTTTATATTAATTTCTTATTGTTTTTAGTATTAAACACTATATTTATTCTCTATAAAATGTGTTTTTGGTATTCATTTTGGAGTGTCGAGAACAATTTAATTGGATTTACATTGATTCATATGGAAATAATTGCCTTGGTTTTCATCAGTTTTGGATTTCGGTGATTGTTTTTGGACAGATTATTGACAAAAACCGAGGTATCACTGTATATGTCAACTTTAGCCCGCCACTGCAATAGCCAAGGTTGTGAAATTCAAAAAAATACATTAGAAATAATTAAAAAGGAGTCTAATACATTTAAAAGGAAAATTCTTGAACAATTTCAAATAAGAAAATTAAATTCAGAAATAAAAATTAATGATGATATGCAATTACACCCTACTTGGTATTAATTTTTAGCCAGCGGGGGATCTACAATTTTTAAATATCTGGTAAAAGTGAGATTGAAGTTCTTCAATTTTACGTTTTATTTATACTTTAAATGTGTGCTTATTTTATGTCTTGTTAATTTTAATAATGTATTTGAAGATTTGAAAGTCAAATCTTCAAATACATTGGATTGAAGGATTGAAAATATTAGTTCTTATTCAAGTAAGCAGGTACTGGAGTTTTATTTCAGAAGGTACTTTGAAGAATTTGATATTCAAGGAAGTAATTGTTCTGAATATTTAGTTTGATATTATTCCAATGTAAGAATTTCAATTCTATATCATTCCAAAGTATTTAATGGACAGTTCTAAGTCAAAGATGGTTCTAAGTCAAAGACCATCTTTGACTTTTGTTTAGTAAGAAATGTTGGATTTCTGAAATAAATAGTGGTTTGATTTATTTATTTGTAAAGATGGGTCAAGTTTTGTGAATTTTTTATAACTATAAAAGACTTGCTTATTGCTTCTAACTATTGATAAATGAAGTAGTAATGAATTTGAATAAATATAATGCCTAATTTCTCCTCATAATTTTTATGTTATAGTGTATTATTAGATTTTTTTTAATGATCTGAAATATTTTTTATTTTTTCTCTTTAGAGTCTTGATTATGATAAATGTGAGAATTCAATATTTATTGAAGAAGAAAAAGAAAATGGATACTGGGTAAATAGAAATTTATTTTTATATTAAAATTTATTTTATAATTAAAAATTTGGCTACTGTTTCATTTTCTAAGACTAATCACTATATAATGTTTGTGACATTCAAAGTTAGCAAATAACTTTGGATAACTTCTTCCAATCTAATAAAAATAAATGTTCATATAACATCCAATGGTTACCTAAGATCTTTTAAGACTTACATTTGTTATATTCTTACAGCATACATGTGCATTTTAGCTGGAAATTGCCTTATCTTGTTGTAACATGTTTTTAGTTGATTAATTATGCAAAAGTTTATTTCAAATTTTCAAATAGTTTTGAAATAAAGGGAGTAAGAAATGAGGCTTTGGAAATCAGAATTATCCATTATTACAAAGATCTAGCTAACTAAGATGAATGTAAAATCTTGTCACGTTGCAGAAGTGACAAAGTCAACTACGAGGGGTGTTCAAAAAGTATCGGACCTTTGGTCAGCAAAAATACATTTATTGATTTTGAGGTACAAAACCCTAATCCCCTTCAAAGTAGTCTCCTTGGTAATGTATACACTTCTCCCAGCACTCCTGCCATTGCTGGAAACACTGCTGGAATGCATCTTTTGGAATGGCCATCAGCCGGTCTGTTGCATTCCACATGATGTCTTCTCTTGACTCAAATTGGGTTCCTTTTAGTGGCATTTTTAGCTTGGAAAATAGCCAAAAGTCACACTAAGCCATGTTGGAAGAGTATGGAGCATGACGAACCACAGGGATGTTGTGTTTTGGCGAAGGTCTGATACTTTTTGAACACACCTCGTATTTACCATCTTCTTAGAAGGTATGAAGAATATGGAAGTATCAAATATATGAAGATGCCTAGTTATTCATTGTTGAAAAAAGTCAAAGAAGTCGTATCAGTTATTCCTCAAGTATTTAACTGTAACCAAAACATGTCAGAATGTTGTGCTGCTAATCTGAATCAGATGTGCAGGATGGGCGGGTGCATTATCATGATATACCTGCCAAATTTTAGTTGACCACAGATCCGGTCATTTGCGTCGCACAGCATCACAAAGACAACGAAGGATCTCCTGGTAGTACTCCTTTGTGATGGTTTGGCCTTGTGGTGCATTCTTATGATGTACCACCTGATGGGAGTCGAAAAAAACTGTCAACGTGACCTTGACATTGCTGCGGACCTGCCATGCTTTTTTGGCCTCGGTGATGTCCGACTGCATCTTGGTTTCTGGGTCGTACCCATAAACCCACTACTTATCACCTGTAATTATGGTGTTCAGGAATTGGGATTACTGCTTGCATTGTCCAGCGATTTCCAGATGCCTTTGCTTCTGCTCCACTGTTAGCAGTTGCAGTACGAATTTCGCGGACACTCTCTTCATACCCAAATCCTGAATGTACCAATCCAATGCTTACTCCTGTCTCGTTCACAAGTTCTCTGACTGTGATATGACAGTCCACCATTACCAAAGTCCACACTTGCTCAATGACAGTCTCATTTCGGCTTGTTGAGGGTCTGCCTGAACATGGTTTGCTGGCCACTGATGTGCGGCCATCTTTGAAACGGTTGTACCATTCCTTTATCCATGTGTTGCTCATGACATCGTCCCCAAAAGCCTGTTGAATCTTGCAAATGGTTTCCACTTGGGTATCGCCAAGTTTTTGACAAAATTTGATGCAATATCGCTGCTCACATTGTTCAATCATTTTCCAACTTACTGGAATCCAGTGAGTGCTCACTACACATCCTTACTCATAGGCTGATTGCCAGCGACTGACGCTTCCTGTGGGCAGGAAAAAATTCAGGACTACACATGACTGTCTCCTCCACATCTCCACCGAAGGAGGCCTCCTGCATGTCATTGGTTTATGTGGGAAAAATAAAGGTCCGATACTTTTTGAACACACCTCATATTTACCATCTTCTTAGAAGGTATGAAGAATATGGAAGTATCAAATATATGAAGATGCCCAGTTATTCATTGTTGAAAAAAGTCAAAGAAGTCATATCAGTTAGTCTTCAAATATTTAACTGTAACCAAAACATGTCAGAATGTTGTGCTGTTAATCTGATTGGCATTCCATACCAAACATTATATTGGTTAAGGGGTTAAGGCAAACAAGTTAAGAATAAAATCTGCAGTAATAAGTGTAGTATCTCATTGCAATGAAGATCAGAAACAACAAGCTGCCACAAGATCATTGAAAATTGAGTATCATTACATTCTGGAAAAATCATTGTGCTTGCTGACAAAAGCTACATGCCTGCTGACCCAAGTGACATAAGCAGCAAAAATCACTCCCACCACACTAATAAAACTGATGCATCAGACAAAAACAGGTTCAAAGGAAAGAAGAAATTTTTCAAGAAATACTTGATGCTGTGAGCCATTGACAAAACAAGAAGTGTCAAAATCCTACATATCAGCATTATGGCCTCTGATACCCACTTAAATGAGTGCATTAAGGAAAGATCACCTTCATTAGTAATCAAGAAGTTTCATTCAGGCCTGATATAGTGATATCACACCAAACATTAGCCAAGTAACTTACGAAGCCAAAATGTTGATTCTGTAGAAAAGCAGAAAAATTTTTCTAATATAACTCAAGTATGACCTATCAAAAACTTTTAGGCATATTGCAAGGTAGTATACTCTAGATCAGTGATGGGCAAACTTTTTAAAGAGCGGGCCAAAGGAAAAGAAGAAAACTTTAGGCGGGCCAATATAATTGTAACCTAGCGCTGCATCTGAAAATCCAGGTGGCGCTATAAAAACATGTGCAGGCCGTCCGCCATATTTCTTTTTCTCTCTTTCGGCTACGCTACGCACGACGAGTGGATGTTCTGTACCGAAGCATGCTTGTAACCGATCGAGCTTTTACTCAATAAGTGTAAAACAAAATTTTGTACA